CTTAACTACATTCTTGTGATCAATAAACAGAAAGCTAACAAGTCCAGTCTTTGAAACAGAGAGAAATACCACTTCTTCCACAAGGTAACTCAGGAAGACAGCTGCTCACATGGGGATTCACCACAGGTACCATTCATGTCCTCACTGTGATGATATGAAGTGTCAGCCCAGAGAAAGCATCTGTGTAATGAGAGTCAGAAGGGCAGAACACATTCTTTCATAGAGTGGAGGTGGCCAATGGAAATGGGATGGCTGCTCTGTCACTAAAGCATAAAGGAATGAATTAAGAGCTCTTTCTTAAGGTTGCTAGGTTTGGTGAGTCAGGGGATAAGGTGGTCTATCTATAGTTTCTGATTGTTGCTCCGTGTCACTGAGTTATAAGAGCTGAGTTTGGGGCTAGGGAGATGACCCAGTGTATCAAGTGTTTGCAAGCCCAAAGATCTGAGTTCAGATCCCCAGCAGCCACATACAAAAACCAACCTGAGAGGGTGGTGACCAGTGAATTCTAAGGGCTGCTAACCAGCCATCCTATCCAAAATGGCGAATCCCAGTTTCATGGAGAGACCCCTGCAGAGGATCAGCTCAGATGTAGGTAAGATGCAGACATCTGTCACAATGGAGGCCACTTTAGCCCTGGGAGGTTGAATGAGTTGCTCAAACTCACATAGTGTGAGAACAGCAGAGCCAGGATAAAAGCCATTTGTCTCCTCTGGAGCTGTGCTCTAGTTAACATGTCCCCCAAAAGGCCTATAGAGAGCTTCGGTGTCCTTCCCTCAAAGGACACTGGAGGAAGGCTCTTGGGCAGGCATCAGATCAACTCCAAGGGCCTCACTGATTTTGTGTGCATCTGGATTTTCAAATCAGGGCTTGCACCAGCAGAAGGGAGAATTCACTTAGGGTCAACTGTTTGCTCTCATCCCTGATGCTTTCTCTAAAGATGATGCACCTCTTATCTCATTGTAGTAGGCACACAAATTCAAATGGACAAGCCCTCACTGAGACATATTCATTTTCTTCCCTCCCCTGCTTTCCCGGGCTCTTCTGCCCTCTCCTTTTTCTTCTTTCCTACCTTTCCTGAACAAAACAACATGAATTGAAAGTCTAAGAAGGAACAAGTACTGGCTGACCTAAGAGGGGAGGAGAAAAAAATGAAAAGGGAAAAGTTTACTCGAGAAAAGTAACTGTTAGGCTAGGCACAGTGGCATAGGCATAACTCCAGGACTCTGCAGCTGATGATAGGTGATTGGGAATGTGCAGCCAGGCTGGGCTGTACAGCAAGATCATGCCTCAAAAAAATTAACTGTCATTAAAATGGAACCATAATGAAGATACCATCTGACACTGACCTTGATTAAAATGTGTTTAACAAGTGCCAGTTAGGGGGTTCAGGAAATAACTCCTCATAATGGTGGTAGTGATAGGAAAAGACTTGGATACTTAACGAATGCTCTGGTCTGCATTCTGTTGCTGTGATAAAGACCAAGGTTGAAAGCAATCTAGGGGAGATGGCATTTATTCCATCTTATAACTCTCAGGTCACAATACATCACTGAGGCAAGTCCAGACAAGAATTCAAGACAGAGACAGAGACCACAGGGGAACGACACTGCTTAATGGTTGCTTGCCAGGGTCATGCTTAGCATAATTTATTATACTTCTGAGGACCATCTGCCCCAGCATGGTACTACCCACCCTGGACGGGGCCCTTACACATCAATCATTAATCAAGAGTATACCCCACATATTTGCCTCTAGTCCAGTCTTATTGAGAAGTCTCTCAATTGAGGCTCCCTCTTCCCAGATGACCCTAGCCTGTGCCAAGTTGACAAAAACAAAACAAAACAAACAAATGACAACAACAACAACAAAAACTAGCATAAGGAAGGGGTGTAGAAGTTCCTCAAAAGTCATAGAGTGGCCATAATACCCAGAAATTCTACTCCTCAAAATAAACCTAAGAGGAATACACACATGTACAGAAAATACACACACACAAATGGTTTAAGAATATGCATAACAGCACCATTCGTAAAACTCCCCAAATAAAAATAAACCAACGTCCATCAATTGGCAATAAATAAAATATGGAATACTATTTGGCAGTAAAAATAAATGTAATAATAATCAGTGACACTTATTCCAACCATGGTGTACACAGGGGAAAGCACAGTATGTAAAAAAAAAAAAAAAAAAAAAAGTAGACCAACTCCACATGTTGGAGAATTCTAACCATATTCTGTGAACAAGAGACAAATACATAGAGACAGAAAGAAAGCAAGCAGGCTAGCATCTGACTGGGGCTGACTGCACAGGTTTGGAGGAACAACCACAGGCAGGTGGAAATGTCCTTGGGATTAGACAGCATGGGGGCCACCTAGCTCAATCACTCACGATGTGAAGCAACACAGTACTGTCTAAATAATGAATTCCATAGTGTGAAAACCACGGATTAGTGAAGCAGAGTGATCCGCTATTAAGTAAACTGCCATTGACATCAGGAATGTCCACATCTTTGTGACTGGGAAGTGACAGCTGCAGAAGTGGCAGAAATTCAAAACCATGGATTCAGAAAAAGAAAATATCTGAAAGAAAGAACATAGAAGAAAAGAGGGAGAGAGTGAAGAAAATAATTTCTATTTAATTGAATTTGTATTTATTGGGTATGTTAGGGGTCTATCATAGCACTTGCATAGATATTATAGGTGGTCTCCAGAATTCCAAATTCAAATCTTCTCTCCTCAAAGCTATTAGCTCCCAAAATGAGGGCATCGATAAGAGGTAAGGCAATATTAGCTTTTAATTTTCCTCCAAACTTCTCAGGGGCTAGAGAACTGTCTCCCCTGGTGTTCTGCATACCAAACTAATGAAATATGAATATTCCATTGACATGCAATCTGTACATGGCTTCTTATGTGAATTCCCAAGTCTGACTCACATGTAATGAGGAGAAACTGAGCCTTCAGGTTCTAGAATCAAGTGTAAGCCATAGACTGCCAGGCTAGTGTGCTCATCCTATAGATCACACTGTCCTGTAGAAGATTCCTGCTCTGATGAAGGCAGGAACTTGACCAAGGCATAACAGGGAGTTCAAAGCTGACAGTAGATACAACTTTAACAGTTATTATTTTTGAGATGGAGAAATACTATGTCCCCGAGGCTTCTAACTTTTAGGCTATCACCAAACCTGTTCCTCTCAGTATGCCTTAAGCATCCTTTGTGCGGAAAATCAAATTATAGCTTTCTCCAAGGACGGGTGAGCCATTAATTGATCCAATGTGTCTGCAGTTCTGCAAACAGTTTCTTGGACAGGAACACATGATGGCCAGTATGTTGTGTACAGAGAAATCCAGTTTAAGATTTCATGTTCAGACACAAAGAAGCATTTATGGAATTCTGTAAATTCAACCAACAACCTTGGTGTTTACAAAACCCAGAATAACTCCTGATGCCCTACTTCCCACTCCTGAATCTATATTTTCCATATTAAATGTTAATTGAGAGATACCTTATATGACTCTGAGTACTCTTCCATAGTGCAAACATCCTTGGAGATCAAGTTTAAGCAGTGGTCCTGTGACTCAAGGTCAGAGTACAGGCCTCTCCATGGGAGAATTGTTGAGCTTGAGAAGATGCCTCTGATGTGCAGAGTTGGAACTTTTCTAAAAAGGTAATGGCCTTTCTTCACACACACACACACAAAAAAAAAACGCTGTCATTTTGTGACCTGTTTTTCATAAGCCTCTGGCATTTCCCCTCCCAACGTGTTTGCCTGAAGGTGGACATATGCCCTTGACTATAATAGCTGGTGTTGACCACTCAGGGCAAGTTAATTGTATAGTTTATTAATAGGTGTTATGAGCTATTGAAAGAAAACCCTGTCTCTAAAGAAAGCAGGGCTGCACACAGCCAAACCGGACATTCCATCTCAGTTGTCTGCTTATTAAAACTTTGCGCTTTAGTTGCAATAATAGTTTTGATTGGGCTACTCCACTCAGAACACCTTCTGACATTTCTCTCATACCCTGTCCCCCCACTGCCTGCAGGAACCTCACCTCAGGAAACCCTGTGAGGAAAAAGGATCCAGCTCTCGGGCACCTCTCTGTAGAAGCCTGCACTCAGGAGGGTAGTTTCCTAAACCAGCGGCTTGTGCTAACAATTATGGATAGCAAAGCCTTGTTGCTTCTGTTATCCCCTCCCACTGAAACACTGCTTATAGACTGTGTTCAGTCGGGATAATAATGCTTATTTCTAGTCCTGCCCCTGTGATCACCAACAAGCTCCATTCTGCATCACAGTCCTGAGCATACCGAAACAGGTAGGTAAAGGACAACACAACAGTGCAAAGTAATTCTAACTTTATGGCTTGTTGAACATTACTATTATTCACCACTGCGCCTCTCCAGTCGGCTTCTGTCTAGACGACAGCCCCACCAGAGCTGGTACATCGAATATTACTTATGGTCTGTATAAACTCAACAAGGGGCTCTCGAGAAGGGATGGAACCTGACTTTGACTTTGTGGGAGCAGTTTGTAAGTGGTCAGCTGCAGGCAGGCAATTTGACCTGCCTCATGATACACAAACACTTGCACCGGGTATGTATATTTGAGACACACAATGAAGCACAGAGATGAGTTATCGGATCTTTTGGTTTCAAACAGGTGCCAGGGGCGGGTCACTAACAAGAATATACCAGCTCTGTCCCCCAAACCTCACTTTCCAAAATCTCCTGGGAGAAGTCAGTCAGCCCACCACTGTGAACCTTCTCCCGAACCAGAATCTCTGATATGCCCCAACATACTGAAACCTCTCCTGCTAGTAACCTCCTTCCCTGTCCCCAAGCGATGCATAACAAAACTTAGTAGGTCCATACATAAGAGACCAGTCCCTGGTGCTTCAAGAACTTTCCAAGCCGAGGTGCCCAGTAGGCAGCACGGGGTCTCCCAAACGCTTCTCGGGCTCCCCTCCCCCACGTCCTCCAGGCACCCCCGGGGTCACTCACCTGCATGGGGCATGGTGATAGTCTCGTTCGTGTTGGATCCCACATTGAAGATGACCACAGCTGAGGCGTTCTGCAGGAACGCGTTCCGGATCTTATCTCTGTAGGTGCAGTTGCCCTTGGGGATGAGGGCTATCCAGTGCTTGCCGTGGGCCGGCGCGGCGAACTTGGTGTTGGGGTCGCAAGCCAGGCGCTCGTGGACCGAGCTGGCCATGACCACCTCGCCGCGCGCGTCCTGCTTGGGCGAGTGCTCGCCGTACCGTCCGCACTCGGTCTTCTCCGTGTGCAGCTCGGCGCCGCCACTGCCGCCCGCCACCGCGGCCCCGGGCTCCGGCTCGGCATAGGTGATGTTCACGAAGGCGGTGTACCATTCCTCCTTTTCCGCCACGGTGAAGTCCAGGCAGAGCAGATGCACGAAACAAAAGGAAAGCAGCCATGTTGAGAGAGCCAGACTGCGGCACGCTTGGATGAGAGACATTGCCACCTCTCTCCTCCAGGGTCCCCTCCCCGCCCCCTGTGCCCTCCTCCCGCTCCGTCCCTCCTTCTCCAGTCCCGGCCAACCCCGGCCCGCCGCTTCGGTCCTTCTGTTTCTGTGGCTCACTCCAGGGGCTGCGGGGCCCTGGCTGGGACACACAGTTGCTGCTGAGACAGGATTCCTAGCGAGCGGGCTAAGCCGGCCCTGTCCCCTCTCAGCCGAGGCGCGGCGCTGGCATCCGGCTTTCCGGGTGATAGCGGTGGCAACACTGAGCCGGTGCCGCGCGCTTGCGGGGGAGTCGGGGTGCCGGGCGTCCTGCTTCTTGGCTATGCGTCGCCTTCTCTCATAGGGGTTGCGGGGGTCCTGGAGTTTGGAGGGGTGGCGGCTATGCTCGTTACGGCCGGGAGGGGCGGGGGTAGGTTGTTCAAGGTCCTGGGTGCTAGGACTGTCCGTCCAGCTGCAGTCGCGGCGATGGCTCCGGCTACGCGTGGGTTCCCTAGGGCAGTGGGCGCTGCAATCCTGGCCGGACTAGGTGACTACGCCCGGGACAGTCACTTGGGGAAGGAGGCCGTACGGGGGACGTGCGTGCAGAGAGGGGTACAGCGGTTGTGTGTGTGTGTGTGTGTGTGTGTGTGTGTGTGTGTAATGTGTGCGTGCAAGGAGGAGCTTAGTATGATGTCAAAGCTTCTGTGTTCTTGTCACGCTCACCCTGACTCTCTTCCTGGGAGCCAGCGACCTCTGCCGGCCTTTAAATTCAGTCTCAGCCTGCCACTTCGACCAGTTAGAGCAAAAGGGAAAAGACCTTTGGGCTTTTACATTGGGCACAAGGCCAGAGCCTTAAATACAGAGAAGTGTCTGTACCTCTCTTGAACAACCTTTTCATTGGCTGGGAGATGTGCAGAGGGTCCCAGGGCTGGTTAGTCACGAGGCCCTTTCCCCCCAGCCCTGAATATCTAGGACAGTGTCTGTCAGAACACCATTTTAAAACCAGTACTGATCCGCTCTAATTCAGGAAAGTTTCAAGTTTATTGGGTCAGGGGTGGGGTCCCTGTTGATGTGCACTTGCTGGTTTAGGGACCAATTTGTGGTGTAGATATGGGAGACTTTCCTGTTCTTCTCTGGAAGTCAATACCTGGCGTTTGTTTGCAGCATAGAAATGCATCTTTCCTCAGACCAAAGACCCCCTCGGAATGGGACATTTTGTCACTGTGTTTCCTGTGATAGAGGACTCACTGCTTCAGCTCCAAAGGGAGTGCTGTTTAGGCTACCGTTTTAAAGTAAACCCAGTGGATTAAAACAACCCAGTGGATAATAGTTTCCCTAGAGCAGTGTTCTAACGGCAGAATGTCTTACCAATGAAATGTCTGGGTGTTTATTATATCTCCTCACAAATGGTTTCCATAGCTTCGGACACCAGTGATATAAAGTGTCTATTTACTTAGTTATATATTTATGTGATGGTTCTCAATTACCCACAGTATTCTTTCCACATGGTGCTCTCTCAGAGAAACGATGCCCAGTTAGTTAAAAAATAAATAAATAAAATAAAACCCACTTTCTCCGGGACCGTCACATGTGTACAGCCTTTTTGTCTACTTACCATCACAACCTATCTTATTTGGGCAGTTATATAGGCTGCTGGTGGCTGCTAGGAGAGTAGAGAGAACCCCAGCTGTACCAAATTAGCAGCAGGCATAGGAGAGGCTTAGAAGACTCTGTCTCTATGGTACTTGATGTGCTGGATTTGTATGTGTTTCTAGCTTATTCCTTGTATTTAAAAAAAATAGGCTTTTAGGTAATTAGAGCAGTGCTTTTTATATAGTGCCCAATGCTGAGGAGGCAGAAGGTTGCTGGCTCGCAGCCCCGCCCCTCAGATCAAGGGAAAGAACACTTGGATTCTGTTCTTTTTACAAAGCTCGGTGGTTCTCTGCATCTCCCTACCTCTTAACATGTTTCCCCAGACACAGACTTGAAGAGGCATCATTAAGAATACACAAGCACTTCTTCCTCTCAATTTCCCTTAGAAAAGTTAAGACAGAATGGACAGCCAGGTTGAGGAGGCAGCTCAGACCAAGAGCTTGCCAAACCAGGGCCATGGAGCAAATAAGTAAAATATTAAGTAAAGCAGAAGCCAAGTTTTATTTGTTTGTTTATTTGTTTTTACAGTGAGTAGCAGAATTTACAAATAGAGATTTTTTAAAAAAGATCCTGAAATTTTTGATTGGGTTAAAATGAACTTGGAATCACTTTTTAAACACTATCACCTATGTTTGTCACTGTGTGAGTGCATGAATATGGAAAGAAATACACACAACATTCCTTTTATTCAGAGCCTGTAAGCAAAGTATGCACCAAATGGCCCAAAGATTTTGCTTTCTCATGTGATTCCCCCTATAAAGAATTTGGGTTGAGTCTGGAGTTTCATCTGAGGAAGCACAAACAAATCCTGAACTTTATCACAGGGACACACTTAAAAAGCATGATTGGAATATGACATAAACACAGAGTCCTGCTGGAAAAGGCTCTTAGCCAAACCCAGGCCAACTTGAGCCTTGGAATGGAGATAGTAGTTGGTTATAACCTAATGAAAAAGATGTTACCTATGCTAATATAAATAAATGATGAAGCAAACAACTTAGGGAGAAGAAACTGCTTGTGAATGGTGGCAAAGTCTGTCCACGGGGAGAGATGGAGCTGGGAAGACTCCATTAGACAGAGTGTGAGTAGCTTCATGAAGGAGTCAAGGGTGGGTAATAAAGCTGCAGGGATAGACATTGATGCTGAGTAGGGTGTTAGCCATATGTATTCTAAAAATACGTTTTACAAGGGGCAGTTGCTATTACTAAAGAGAACCTTGGAAGGCTCAAAGCAGATGAGTGCTCATGGTGCAGATCACCAGTCATATAACAAATCACAATGTGTGTACCTTCTGTGAGAGGCATCCAGAAGCCACAACAGCATTTTGTCACAATATACATATCCCAGGTATGTACACCAGGAAACATGAAACAGGCTTTGAATCTATTCTATGAAATGAAAGCTCTATGCTAACACTCTGAAGCCAATGAAAGACAGAACTAGTAGATCCCACTTTAAGAGAATCAGTTGTCCTGATGAAAACCAGCAGATGATTCAGGAGGGGATCCTGGAATAGATGGGAAAATAAATAATTGGGACATGTTTGAATGAGGTCTGTGGGCTTCGAGGTACGTTTATAATGTGATTTCCTGATTTGGAAGGTGACATCACGGTTTTGCAGAAAAACATCCTTGGAAGGGGGTCTGTGTGTCCAAGGTATTGAGTACTGACCAGGCAGTCTGTCTGCAACTTGCTCTTAAATGGTTGTGAGAAAATGATTTTTTTCCATATAAATACATGTTTTATTGACTACCAAGTATCTATACACAGATAAAACTTCAGAGAGTCCTAAAATAATGCTTTTATGAAGATCAAATTTCTTTTTTGATCAGTCTTTCTTATTTAGAATTTGTTGTTTGATATAGGAACATAAAATGTTAAAGTTTTAGGGAGATACCATTTGAAATTTCCTGTAATAAGTCAATTTTTAAATATCAATATCTTTTTTTATGCTTTTCAAGAGTTTCTTTTTTCATTTAGAAGCAATTTTATTTTACATATCAATCCCCAGTTCCCTCTCCCTCCCATCCTCCCATGTCCCCCACTGACTTCCCCCAACCCACCCCCACTGACTCCCCAAGGATAGTGAAGCCTTCCATTGAGGATCTTCAAAATCTATCACTAGGGAGGGCCTAGTGTAAGGAGTAAGATTTCCCCCACCCCCGGTCTTGTCCCACAGCCGCGCCAGCCACAATTAACACACTTAGACTCTGTATTAGATATAATGCTGATGGCCAGGTACTTGTTTCTTATTGGCTAGCTCTGTTTTAAGTATTAACCCATTTCTGTTAATCTAATATTTCCATGTGCTTTCATCTTACTGGGGAATGGGCTGGCGTTGTGCTCTCCCTGGTCTCTCCATCTTGACTCCTCCTTCCTCTTTCCTCTTTCCTCCTTGTCTCCTAGTCCCTCCTCTCTTGCTCTCCTATTGGCCAACAGTGCTTTATTCATCAACCAGTATGAGAAACACATTTACAGAATGACATCTCCCATCATCTCCTCTTTTTTGTCTAAAATGAAAAGGAGGGTTTTAACCTTAACATAGCAAAATATATAACACAACAGTTATCAAGTAAGAATCACAGTTAACAATATTTAGTCCATTAACATTTAGTAAGATTTAAGAAAATATTGCATCATCTATTCTATCTTTGTGAGTCTAAAGTCCTATATGTAACATATCTTTAATCCTAACTAAGGAAAACTATAACCATAACTATTTGTCTTCAACTCCCTCAAAGACCACAGAAGGATAAAATATAAACTCTAGAAATGACAGAGACAACTTGCCTGGTCAGTCACCCAAAGTTCTTCAGCCCATAGGCCATACTGTGTCTGGCAGACTCTTCAGCAAAGCAGGAAACTTTAAACTGTCTTCTTGTATTAGCAGTTTGTCAGTTACTTTTCTCTGTGTCCTGTAGACTGTCTTGCAGACTCTTTCATGAAGCAGAAACTCTGTAGCAATGTCCATCTTGAATCAGCAGTCACTTTTCTGTGGGTCCTGCATGTCCAGTTTATACAGCATAAAGTCAAACAGTCCAGACAAGAGCAGTATCTTGTCCAAATGGCTAATCTTGCCATATTGGAAGTAAACCCCATAACGAGTTTCTTCAATGTCCATCTTCCCTCTTCCTTTCTGGTGCAGGTGGTGTTGCCAGGAGCAATTATGTCTCACTGTCAAGAAAAACCCTAAACCATTTTAAATGCCATATTCTGTAGGTCTTTGAAAAGTTTGAAGAATGCCTATTCATCTCAAATACATCTCTATATATCTAGAAATACTAACTCACCTAACTATAAGTTTTGACTATTATAGATAACTATCTACAATCTGCACTAAATTGTACATTACATTTCTAACTGAGCTATATAAACACAAGGAGAATATACACATCACAAAATTGACCTTAACTTGTATCAATAAATGAAAATCCATTCCAACGCAAAGTAATCAATAAATGAAAATAC